CGTCGAGGATTTCGATCGGAACGATGGCATCTGCGACGACTATTAGACGCTTCGCAGCCCATTCTTCGATCCCCCGTTTTCGTCGCGTTCACGGGGAAGACTATTAGGCTGTGCGACAGGGGGGTTGCGATCCGGGGTGGGGTTCGGGCGACGCGTCGTGGCGTCACGCCGCGGAAGGGTTACGCTCTCGGGCGCGATCTCTGCTATTTTGTAACCCGTGCCTCCTTTTTTTTCGGTTTTACTAGCGCGATAAGTGGCCATATGGGGACACTGGACGCGATGGGGTGGGACGGGAGCGGGCCGAGCGAAAAAGCTCGGCTTACAATCGCCTCGACGAGATCTAAAAGAGCCGCAGGGGAGCCAGAACTGGTACAAGAAGGTCCATTATCAGGTTGCAAAACATACATCTGGTCGGTGAGGGCACGTGCCCGGGGTCTTCGGAGCAAGGGCACGCCCCTTTCGATCCCCTCGTCCTCTCCCGCCCGCTCTCTCTCTCTCTCTCTCTTTCCCGCTCACGATCCTCATCCTCCCCTGGCCCCTGCAACCCTTCACGGCTACCCGTCGACACCCTGTCGTCGTCTTCGCTCGAGTTTGCAATCTTCCGGACTGCCAGCGAAATTCGAGAAAGCTCTTGAAACCTCTCGGCAGCCTCGATTGCGTCTTATACGAAGCGAACAACCGCTAAACCTTTCATCGCGAGAACCTCTGTTTCATCGTTGCAACCGTCGCGACGCGAAATGACCTATTTCCGACAGCTCCCGTCGCGTCGATCGCGAATACAACGAATTCCCCCGTGAATTCCACAGAGAGATTGATTCGATTGTGCCTAATAGGAATCGGCTAACATTAATTGAGATCTCGATAGCTGCACTATTGAAGTTTCTACAAGAGAAATTAACAAAAGTCGATTAGCCGGCCCGGTAGTGCGAACGTCGAGACGCTTTCGATACACAAAGTCCGCTCGACTGTAGAGGTTTCACCGGCGTGCCTATATGTATACCGCAAAGGAAACTCGAGAACGTCTATCGCGACCGATTTATGCCTCCTCGAAATTATCGCGTACGGCTAACTAACCGTAATCCGTTTACCGGTACTCTAATTATGCGGCCAAGGGGTTAGTTTTCTACGGTGCTTCACCAATCGATCGGCTAACGCTATTACCGCGCGTTGAAACTCGAGCACGGTACGCGTATTACCCGCCCGCCCACCTGCCCATCGACGCGATTATCGATCACGCGGATACCCATGATCGAGAGCGACAACGACCCTTATATATCCTCGATGATCCGGGCATTCCGCAACGCGGCAGTCAACCCGTTGTCCGTTGACGGATTTGTCGCTTGCAATTTGGTGGATTCGCGCGATCGCGGAACCTTCCGTACCCTCCCCCCCATTCCTCCTCTTTCCACCTTTCGTCCTCCGCTCGCCGCTCCCCGCATTCCGCCGCCTCCGCCGCGTCCGTCTCTGTTTCCACCGAAACTCGTCTCCTGTAAATCTCTATCGAGAATACCGGTTGTCGGAGACGACCACGGACAATGGGCTGTTTTTTGGAACGTGGAACGAGTCCACCTTATGGTCCGTTATATATACTTGTATAAACATACACGGACACAGGCGGCCGCGTGTGTACACACGCACGCACACGCGCGTAGCTTTATCACGAATCTCGACTCCTACCGACCACTCCGATTCGTAGTAGCCGCGTCGTCGTTGTCGTCGTCGTCGTTGCTACCATCAACGTCGCGCTTGAGAAAATTGAAACACGGTCAACACTTCGTGGTTCACAGTGTTCTGAGACTTTACAGATCGAACACTCGATGTTCAATTGTTAACCCCTTGTCATGCGATGACGAGTGAGATGGTGAGGATTTCTAGATTAGTTTAACCCTTTGCACTCGGATGTTTCTTACTAGGAATATTTCACGTTTCCTTACGAGGCGAAGACGTTCTTTGAGACTAATTCGAAGGGAAATCACCAGTGCATTGAGGAACAAAGCTGTTTTATTCCAATGTTTCACGTATCGAGGCGTTATACAAAGTTTAACGTTAAATATCACATTCTATGGCTTTATTGTGTCAAATCAAGTGGTGACTGAGTGTCACCTCTGAAAGGATTAACGAGAATCGATGTTGTTCATTGCTTATGGATCAAAGCGAAAAACTATCGCTATTATCAATTTATTTTTAAGTGGAATTTTTATTTTAATGAAAGAGGAGATGTATGTTGCGTTTCTTCCAAATCGTCGATAGTAAAATGTTACGAGTTTAGTAGCGAAAGTACGCCAAGGGGTTGACGATTGAACGATTTGCTTGGGAAGTTTTGGGAAACACTGTACTCACACACCTGTAACGATCAGGAGATTACGAGTAATTTGCAGGAGAAACCGAGAGTACGGTGAACGTTCGAGGAACCCGTGAGATTTTCGATGTTGCGTCACGATTCAATTGTCCATCGCGCCGCGCGACACTGAATAATTCGACTGTCATCCGAGGGTTGCCAGTATGCAACGATTCCGAGCGAACACCGTCGGCCGCAAGAAACGGAACGCTTTCGCCGTTCCAATTAGCGGTGCTCGATCGCCTCGGCCGCGTAATTCCGCGAACGATAATTGAATTCTTCCCGCTGCGCGGCAGCGAAGAACGCGCAGGGAAGAAAGGCCGGGAAAAGAGAAAGGGAAACTCGGTTTGCTCACCTCTGTCGACGATCTTGCCAAAGAGATTTTTCCCACGGAGGAAATTCTTGGTGGAGCAGTTCCATCGGCGGTTGCGGAATTGGTGTTGGCACTCGGTGATCGCCTGGTTCGCGCCCCTGGCGACCGCCATCAGCACCCCCGGGTTCTCCCTGGCGAGTTTCCTCTGCTTTCTCCTCAAGGTCGCGTACACCGTGGGATCCATGTTCAGGGAGGCCGGCGACAATGGCAAAAAATTGTTCGGCTCGCCAGCCTTCGCGATTCCCCTGAAGAGAAAGGAAAAGTTATCGAGTCGGTCGTAACAGCGCGGCTTCCGCGAGGCTTCATCTCGCTGCGCGAGCTCTTTCGATCGGACGAACAGTCCCTCCAAAGCTGCGACGGCACGGTCGTTTCGCGCGTTAACGCGCGGCCGGGTGTTACGGTGTTAAGTAATACGATAAGAATCGACGAAATAGAAAAATCTATGTTGCATAGTTCGGATGTCTCGATTAATATTAACGAGAGAAGTGAGCAGCGAAACGGAGATATTCTCGCTTCAGCGGAGGAACCGCGGCGCGAGACACGCCCGTGTAATCCCGGCGTAAACGTTTCGCAGCTTATCGCTGTCGTTACACGCTTCTTATTACGAAATAATTGGACTCGAACGTTAGTTAACCTTTTGCCGCGTAACGACGGGTAAAACTGGTACCGGAGATTCCTAGGTTAATCGAATAAAAATCACGGCTATCCCGTGATTATCAACAGTCTGCCTTCGACGTAAATTTACGCTCGCCAGTGGAAGCTTCCTGTGTATTCCTTACAAGTTGTCGGTAGTAAAATCGGTAATACCAGTCGGGAAGAGAATCACACGGTCCGACCGCGGTGGGACGATCGAAGGGTCGCGGCGAGGATCGTTTTCGGAACGGTCGTCGATCGGACGATCGGTATTTCTCGAGCGTCCGATCGACGCTAATTTCGTTCGCGCGTAAAAACGACACTCTCCGGACACTCGGGCGGACGAGGAAAGGCGAAACGGTCCGGAGAGGAGAGGAGAGGAGAGGAGAGAGCAGATGGGAACGGGGAGCGAAGGGAGCCGACGATGATGCCGGGAAGGGAGGCCGAAGAGGAGGAGCGCGGTGAAGGATTAGTCCGAAAGACGAAACTGGTTCAACAGTTTCGGTCAACGGTAGCCGGGGTATATATAAATCAAGCTGCCGCGCGAGTCCAGCCTGCGAAAGAATTCGCGTCGTCCGATCGATCGAGCGTCGCGCAGAAAAACGCTTAAGAGCGTTCTGCTCGCGTCCCTTCGTGGGAAGAACGTGCAAACTTTCGAGAGAAAGGTCTCGCGCGCTGCCCGGATCGCCGCCGCGCCGAAATCCCGCGATATTTACGACCGTTTTACGGCCGCGATCGCACGCGACAACAACCGCTCCCGCCGCCGGATCCCTCTTCCGATCTCCCGTGCGCGCCCTAGGCGAGCCGCGCGCGAGAAACCTAGGAGACGTTTAATTATTTTTCCTGCTCGCATGGAACACGCTCCGCTCTTCCCTCTCCGGATACAGTCCCGTCCAAAAGTCTGGTCGTCCCGTGAAGTAGCCGGTTGTCGAAAACCGTGCTCGATCAACACCCGGTTACACGGCCACGGCTCCTCCGCGGTTCGAGGACGATCGTGTATGGTCTATAAAACGGCCTTAGCGATCCGAGATTTCTCGACGGGAACGCCGCGCGAGCAGGGATCGGATCGCTCGTCGCCGCGCCGTCCGTGATAAACAGCCGATCGCCAGCGCTGCTCCGTCGACGCTCCGTTGTCAACGACTTTCCTGACGGCTAGCAGAGACAGCTAGTCGGATAGACAGATAGACAGACGAACGGACAGACGAGAACCCGGACGCTGGATGCCACCGCGAAAAGCGTGCCAGCTGCGGCCGAGGCTTCCCGTTGACACTCTCGGTGCGCTCCGTGTAAATAAACCGAATCACCGAGCACAACCTCGTAAAACCTCGCTCCGGAGCGGCTGGCTGCGGCGAATCGGTGTCGGGAAATCGTCTTCCAGAAACCGAACTCTCTCGTCTCGACCACGTCGACGCGACGCGTCTCGTTCTCGGTTTTGGAACCTGAAAACCGGCGACGTCCGCCGGCGCGATTCGCGAAACGTTCGACGAGCGGCGAACATAAATACACGCCGACCGGGACCGGTTAGAACGTATCTATCGCTTGTAATTCACGTCGAGCAGAAAAGCTCACGGGGACGAGCTGCGGAGCAGCGCGATCCTGTCCCTGCCCCATCCCTCGTCCCCTCGGCGAGACCGCCGCGCAGCCCGTCCACGTGTTTTCTGCCAGCGACCACGAAAATAATTTATCGAGCGGAGAGGGCTAATATAACGAGCCGGTGCCACGCGCTACCACCGGCAAAAATCCCGCATTAAATTCCCGCGATTACCGCTGAATTATCGTCCCCGCGCCGCGGCTCGAACCGTTCCAACCTGCTCCGAGGCGGCCGTGGACTGGCTTTGCCGGAGACCGCTCGACGACGCGACCTGTCGCATCCAGGACGACGACGCCTCCAGCGAGATGCCACGAGCCGGAGAGGAATCGCCGATGTCTTTTTCAATCGGCCGACCGACTTGCTCGGCGCGTCGCTGCTCGGACGCGACCCCGCGCGCCTCGTTTCTAATGCCGATCTGCTGCGACGAATGTAGTACGCGCTACTGGTTTCCAACCGGCGCGTGATTTTTAGTATTATCGTTGCTGTTATCCTGGCGTTTCGGGGAATCGAAATGAAATAACTTCAAGATCGAAGCTGTCGCGAGACGAGTTTGATACGTGCACAATTCGGTTAAAATGGAGTTCACCTTTGACTTCCGAAGAGGATTACGAACGTTTGTTAATATTTTGTGCTCGATAACGGAAGAAAGCTTCGCAACCGGAAAGTCTCCCGCTGATCGGAGTTCGAGAGGTAATAATAAGCGACGCGGCGAGGTAATAAGCAAACGCGATGATGTGGGTTTTACGAATTCCGTTTCCCTTTCTCGCGGTGGACGTTACGCGGAAATTGCAGCGAGTCACGGGGCCTAAGCCCGACGAGACCACCCAGAATCGGCACCGCTCCGGCGAGGAGCCGGCGCACGGCACGGCACGGCGATAAGCGATTCCCCCGTTACCGCGGGATATATCGCCGATCCGCGCGCGATATATCTATTTCGGGAACGCGACCGGCCGCCGCGAGCCGGCGGTAAATTCACCGAAAAGATCAATCCGCCTTTCGCCGGGGGAGTCGCGATAAATTACGGCCGGCTGGGAAATCCAGGTGGCAGGTTGTCCGGCGTCCGCGCGTCCACGCGAATTTACCGACGTATTAGATTAATTAATTCGTAGGCAATAATTAGCCGCGCGTGGCCGTGCCTTAAATCAACTCGCGGCTTGGAAAAGCGGCCGGGCAACGGTTGATTTATCGCTGGCAGTTTATCGTTATGTGGATATTTCCGTGGCTATCTCTTTCGGTTGTAAACGCGGCCGTTGGTCCGGTCCCGGGCTGCTCGGTAGCTCGATCGCACAGCGAGCATTATTTATTGCCCGGCTAATGAAGTTAGCCATTATCTAACATCCATCCAGCGTTTTCTTGTTCCTGCGAGAAATCATTTGCGGGTCGGGTGGTCGCGCGCGGTGCCGCGAGACGTATGATTAATGGATTAATAAGAAGCCGCGCGCGGGCACCGGTGCCACCGTCGCCGGGATAAAAGATTCGGGGGACAGGTGTTAACGCGGTGCCGGTGGCGCGGCGCAATTAACTCTGAAAGGTTAATTCGATTCCGCGTGGGATCGTTGCGCAATCTATTTTCCCGTCCCGCGGGCTCCGCCGGACGGCGCGACGGGCAGGATCGCGCGGCGTAGAACGCGCGGCGCGCTCAGCGTGGCCGGCACGTTAACCGAAGAACGCGAGCGAAACGGATGACAGACTGAGAGAGCTTACCACCACATGGATCCTCTTCCGCGGTTCTTGTTCCTGGTGATTTCAGTGAGAGAGGCGTGGATCGCCACCGCGAGGGCGCCGAGGATCACCCAGAGCCTCATCTTCTCGACGTCGGTAGCTCAGCCGTTGCCTTGCCGGGACCCTCTGTGATCGGGCTCGCGATCGGTCTCGATGGAACACGACGATACACCATGCACCAATCCCGTGTCACTCACCGAATTGCGAACATCACACGGTACCGGTCGCGATCGGGCGTCGCGCACATAACATAAGCCGCAGTACCGAGCGTTGTCAGTTTTCCACGTCGGTTCGGAGAGTCCTCTCGTGTCTGGGACGGCACAGCCCGCGCGTCGCCGAGTGGAGATCGGTCCCGGGAGCTTCTAAATCATCGTCGAGGTCGGTCGCGTGGCCGTTAAACTGGGGAATTCCAGCAAAGCAAGAAGCGTGGTGGTTCGTGGCCGTGCCCCCTCGAGTGTCCGAACGGAGCGGTGTGGTAGAATGGTCAGCTGTCAAAGCAGGAGAGTTCGGTGGCAAGAACCGCAATGCCGACAGTCCGACAGTTGAGTGACTGTAGCTGGTAGCGGGCGACGTCGGCAGCCTCACGGAAACTCACCCCCCGAAGGGCTTTTTTCGAGGGGTGGGTGTCACC